GCAGATGTGCCTCAATCGGCTTTACGTAAGGCCGAGAGAGGGTGGCCCACCCATGTATATATCTTCAAAGTCAGCCAGACAACTCTTAGAGGTATGATAATAACTTTTTTTGTTTTTCTACTCTCCATGACATTCTCCTAAAGGTTAATTTATGTTCTGTTGTTGGATGCGTATATGCAGGACATTTCCTCGGAGTTGCAGCATCATGGGCAGTTCAGGTAGGCATAGAAATCTACAGATGTGTGTTCCGGTATGTTAAACCCGAGGAAGAAGAAGAGGAACCGGTGCAGGTATCAGTGCAAGCAAAGGATCTCGGAAACAAAGTTGTAGGTATCACTGTACGGTGCGGGGCTTCCTTAGTGTTTGCTGCCATCGGAGCTGGTATATGCTCTTGCCTCACCCGTCCCTCCACGGGCCAATGGATCGGTAAGCTCACTGGTTACTAGAACTGCGCATGGGTTATTAGAACCACCCACTGATTATCAGTTTTGGAACATAACATTTATATGATTTTTCGTATGCAGGGTGCGCGCTGGGGGACTTGGCTGGTCCGATGGTTGTTTCGCTTTGCCTGCAGAAGACTCTTCAAGCTGATCTTTAAGTCCTTATGTGGAAATTGAATTCTTCTACTTGACGATCCTCATGAAATGAAAGAGTTTTTTTTTTTTTCCTTATGAAAATTTCTTAATTGTCCTTGCCTGAAACCTTGAAAACATTGATCAAGAGACTCGAGTGATTCACAAAATGTACCTACTTTTGAGAACAGCACAATAAGTCAGGTATTTATTCTCATTGGATCTCAGAGTTGTTCTTATTTTATTTTTTAGAGGTAAGTATTGATTTTGTGAACATTCATTATTATACTTTTGTGCAAATGTGAAAGGACTACTACTTGGAAGAAAAATTCGAATTAGAAGTATGGTTGTCCACTTTGGTTCACCTACACCAAAAAGGCAAAAACCCAAACTTAAAATCCTAATTTAAGTTTTGGGGTCTTGTTTGGTTTAGGGTTCCATTAAACTGAAGAAACCAGACCAATTTGACTTTGAATTTCTTTTGGAATTGATTAGTCTTGTTTTTGGTTTCAGAATTGGTTACTGGGACCACCTCCATTAAAAGATTTTCATATTAAAAATTTAATAAAACCTAC